GCTGCTACTGGTATCTCCCTGCCGCTAACTATTCCGAGTGTTTTAGGGCAAATAACTCGCCTAGTCCTTAGGCACGATCTTAGGGGATAATTGGAGTCACTCTGGATGGGTGGGAATCACAGCGCCGCCACGTACCAGCTGTGTCTCTGGGTAATTGACCAACCTCTGTGTGCCTCAGGTATTTGCCCGCAGAAATAGCATAATTACAGTAGCTTCTACCTTACACAGCCGCTATATACGGATTCAGGGAGAATAGTGCCAGGCCCCCAGCAAGGCTTAAATGTTGAAATCCCCATTTTGCGCAAATGGTCGAGTAGCCTGCTCCAAAGTTGTACAGCTTAGTAAGCACACTGGCACAGTTAAGAACTAAGTGCCCCATTCTTAAGCCCTGTGTTGTGCTGTCTTGGAAATACCTTTCCTGGCAACCCTGTCCGAATAGTACTCGTCTCTTTACATCCCTTCCGATGCTTTTTCTTCAGAACACTAATCACAACCTAGTATGTTATAGGCTTAGGTTTATTTGTTAATAGTTTTCCAGGTGCCCTGTTCTTTAAGGGCCATAGAACACCGATTTACCCATGCTGTGTTATTTCTAGACTTAGATACTCAGATGTTGAAATAGATATGCAGATTATAACACTTAATTGTCCGAAAGTCAAGAAGTGGCTCTGCCACTGACTGGTTGGTGATCATTTAACCTCTCCTGATGCTTGGCCTACTTAAACTTTATCTAGAGTGATGCTCCAAGGACATTTTGGACTTTAGAGTCAGGTCTCAATTTCCTTTAGCTTGACCAGGTCAGTGTTTCCTCATTTAAAATGGTGAATTCTGTGATCCATTTGGGTCATTAGATTGTTGTGAAATACTGGAAACGTCTAATGATGTCTTCTGTGCAGTTTGTTTGCTATTAAAGCACGGGGAAAGAAAGTTTTTTTCTCATATCAATGGGTGCTGTGCATAAAACGGATATAAATAACACTAGACCTGTCCAAGAAAGACTTCTTACCGGACAAAAAAATACAAAGGGACTTAAATACATGCTGTAGTTTTTCAACAGGTATATGTATGCAAGTACACAATAAACAGTCCTTCAATATGATGATTCAAATATAAACTGGACTTTAAACACACATGGTTGGTCACAATTCCTAACAGTCCTGTTTTTCCCTGGCCTTTGTCTTTTGGCTTGAAATTGGTAAGAATCCTGAGTACCTTTTGTACATCTCATGTACTGCCTCATTTTAGCTGATGCAGGTCTGTCACTGGAAATTGAGCTTTCCAGCTGTTAATCAGAAGTCAGTAACTAGACAAGCTTGGAGAGAAAAGAAGTTCACCTCTTGAGTCCTTTATTTTCAAGCACTGACTCCCAAGTGCTCTGCAGAAATAGCCAATGGCCATCACAGCTTTTATCTAATGGAATGGCTTGATATTGCAAAGAGCACGTGGGACAAAAATCAATCTTTTGTCATTGATTTATATCATAGTACATAATCTTAAAACAAGTTGCCTTAAAAGAATTAGAAGTTTGTAGAAACAGTCTTCATTTTAGTCTCGAATCTTTAGGGATTGGTTTTCACTCATAAAGTCAATACATTTCTTATTGAATGGAGGTAACAATGTAGTCATATATTGGATTTACATCATAAATTATTAAAAAACTCATACACATCTTAGTCAAATTGAAAGACTTGCAGGTGTAAAAAGTTGGTAGAAAATTCAGTCATTTCAAGGGACATGCTCTGCTGGTGGTGACTTTCTTAAAAACAAATATTGTAGTGACTTTGCTCAAAAAGTTTCAGCCTAGTGCACAAGAAAAAATACGTGTTTAGCTTAGCCATCAAGGTCTCCCATCTGCCTTGCTGTTCTGTCTCCCACTCTGTGCTCAGCAAATGCTTTCCCCACCTTCCATGCCTTGTTGAAGACTTCCGTTTTTTGAGAATGGCCCTGTTCCAACACCCTCACCTCCAGCTCAAATTCTGTCTCTGCCAACACCCTTTGGTTCCATCACTGGGATCTGTCTTTCCTCCATCTCCCCCCATATTCCCACAACTATTTGTATGTGTTAGAGCATTTCTCACAACTTGTGTCTGTCTCCATCGGAGATGGGCTAGATGGGAGGTTCTGAAGACAGGAGCTCTTTAGTGTTTACCTTTTGCTGGTCAAGTTGAAGTGTACATGTCTACACAGGTGAAACAGAATTTGTATTGTCTGACTCATGATTGTCTAATCAACTGTTGTCTACTGGCTTATGCTGACTTTAGAGGAATTGTCCACTAACAGACAAAAGGAATAAACAAGAGTGGTATATCCACATATAGAATATTATTTGGCCACAAAAAGGAATAAAGTACTGATATATTGATCTTGAAACGTTATGCTAAGTGAAAGAAGTCAGTCAAAAAAGACCACAAAATGCAATATATATAAAAATGCTCTATTCCACTCCTGTGGAAGTCCAGAAGAGGAATGCTGGAGAGACAAAGTAGACTAGTGTTTGCTTGGGGCTGGGGGTTGAAGGGGAGGATGGGTGGAGGATAGCAAAAGCTTAAGGGGTTTCTTGTAATGAAAATGTTCTAAAATTGACTGGTGGTGATTATACATGTCAATGAATATACTAAAAACCTTTAAACTGTGGGAAAATTGTATGGTATATAAATTACATCTCAATAGGCTTTTCAGAATTCTGGAACTCCCCTGATAGTATTGAAAATAATATTGGCAGCTAACAGCCATCACCTACTCTCAGTCCTGTGGTAAGTGCTTTATATGCATTATTATTTAACTGTCCCAATAACCCTGTGGGAATAGTACTATTTCTAAATCTTTTAGGTGAAAAACTAAGCCTCAGCAAACACTTACCTAATGTTCCACAACTGTTTTAAGTTCTGAGACCCCTGAGCTGTATCATGCAAATCCTTTGAAACACTATTCTGTACAACTGGAATGCCTGCAGGGTAATTTTACAAGATATGACAGATTGCCTTGACTTAAAAAAAAATCAAGTGCGTGTCTACTACCGTAGCATGTAAGTTCTTCTGTACAATGCTGAAAAGTGTAACAATGTATTTAAACTTACTTTCTATCAAACACCCTCATCTTCCTAAACTTTACTTTGATTTTACCTCCATCACCAGCACCAACCATAGATTTTTATTGTTGTTTGTGAGTTGATTTTCCACTATGAAGCCAAGTTTAAAACTCCCTGTAGAAGAACTTCAGGTGTCAAGAACAGAGCTCCATGATGTTTGAGATACTGGTGGCTGCTCAGTGCTGCCCTGGAGTGGTGACTTACTGCGGTGGCCCAGCTTTTTGTGTGTTCTCTGTTCAGATTTGTACCTCACCACGTTATAACATCACTACGTTTCAAGGGGATGGTCGGTGGAATAATGACCCTCCAGATAGGTTCATGTCCTAATCCCTGGAGCCTGTGACTGTGTTACATCAGAGACTCCGCTGATGGGATGAAGGTAGGACTTTGAGACAGGGAGGTTATCTGGCTTGTCTGGGTGGCCCAGTGTAATCACAAGGGTCCCCATGAAGGAGGTGGGCAGAAAAGTCAGGGAAGGAGATGTCACGATGGAGGCCTAGGTTGGAGTGGGAATTCAGGCAGCCTCTAGAAGCTGAAAATGGCAAGCAAACCCGTCCTGTCCTAGAGCCTCCAGGGGCAACGAGGGCCGCCAGCCCATTTCAGATATCTGACCTCTGGAGCTCTGTGATGATGAACACATTTTGTTTTAAGCCTCTTTGAGGCAATTTCTCACAGGAGCAATAGGAGACTAATCCAGTGGGCCTTTGGAATGGCTTTCTAATGACTGAAACTGAACATTAATGTCTCCCATTGATGAGAATCCCCCAGGACAGGAGTCCTCCCAGCTGCTTCTCTCTCCTGTTTCCTACAGTTCTTGTGTTTTTGGTCTTATCTCTTCAACTAGACAGTGAACTGCTTCAGGGCAGGCTGTCTTGTTCCCTGTGGGGGTCAGCGTGTGGTCAGCAGGGGATAAATAATAGCAAAGCTGCTACTGTCAGTGTGTGTTCTGCGCCCTGGGGGCCAGGCCCTGTTCTGAGGGCCGAACAGTGATCCCAGGGTCCTCGCATTACAGAAGAGGAAACAGGTTCAGGGAAGTGAGGGGTCCTGCTGTTAGCAAGGTGCAGAGCCCAGAGCTTACCCTCAGGAGGGGTCCTGCTCTTGCCTACCATGCTGTGCTCATCAATCATTTCAAAATCTATTTCAAGTCAGTTTTGATCCCCAAACTTGGGTTCCTCTTAAGAATGCACTTTATAAGATAAAACTTAAGAGGAGATTTAAGGTACCATTCATTTCTCTGCAATCAGTGATTGGAGTTTGCTTTATTCCTCACTTGTGAGAACACTGAAATGATTAGTGTATTTATGTTCTTTTTTGGATTTTCTTTAAAAATCTATTTCCGTACTTAAGATTTTTAGCAAAAGCTGGTATTTGTCTCCTTTACTAATTCAAAATTGTATTTGTGCATCTGGATTATAGATGCCTGACCAATTTTGATGTGGAATCTTTCTATTTGAAATAGGGTAATAATTAGACATTTTTCATGCTTATTTATGAAACTTTGTTCTGAACCATAAAAATATGGAGTTCATGGCTAACATTTCTGTTAATAAATATTGAATTCATAAAATACCAAATAGATAGGAATACATTGTTTTCTAAGGATTACTCCTTAAAAGATGAAAAATCAGAATATTGGAAGGAAAAGATTTTAGTTTTCCATTAGTATTGAAATACTTTAATTTAGTTGATGGAATTTGGAACTCATTGTAGAATTCTACATTTATAACTTAGATTGTATTCAGCTAAATTATCCTCCCTTAAAAAAGCATGAGCTTGTCAAGATTTGTTAGAAAAAAATATTACTTTGGATTTCAGATTTGGTGCTACATATGTATTTTCTGCTTGCTCTCAATCTAGGTGCACCCCCAGAAACACCTGAAGAAGAAAGGCAGCCAGGATATGTTCTACCTACAAGTCTTGAAGCCAACAATTTGAAGACAAACAATTGGGGGTTCATATTTCCTGGGATCATTGGTGGGACACTGGTGGCCTTATATGCAGTGGCCACACCGTTTATAATGCCAGCCCTCCGGAAAATCTGTTTGCCTTTTGTACCTGCGACTACAAAGCAGATTGAAAATGTAGTGAGAATGTTGCAGTGCAGAAGAGGATCCCTCGTAGACATTGGTAGTGGCGACGGGCGCGTTGTGAGTTGTGCTAAGATAGCTTAAGGTTTGGAACCAGAGTTAAAGTCTCTGCTTCATATTTGTGATGCCTTTGCAAAGACTTGCTAGATTTGGCAGCTTAATAAATCAATAAAGTAGTCAATGATTTTGTATGTGTTTGGCCAAGCTGTCAAACCCTCCATCGTGAATTGGAATTTATTTTTCTCAGATTTAATTTTTTCTTAAAGGAGAAAGTACTCTGTAGATTTGCTATATAAAAGGAACAAATGGGTAATTGTGAAATTGTCCACTAAAAACATGGGCCAATGGTGACATGACTAGAGGAAACATGTTAAATCTGGAGTTTAATAGAAATGTGTGCTTTTTTACATTTATCTATACTTACACATGCATAATAATTCCTGTGGAGTAATACAGGGTTAAAATAGGGACAAGCCCAATTAAGATTAGCATGTATAATGTCGGGGGGAGGGCATGGGGAGGGCTGTGCAGCAGAGAAGACAAATAGTGATTCTACAGCATCTTACTACGCTGATGGACAGTGACTGTAATGGGGTTTGTGGGGGGGACTTGGTGAAGGGGGGAGCCTAGTAAACATAATGTTCTTCATGTAATTGTAGATTCATGATAACAACAAAAAAAAATAGGGACAAGCCCAGTGCATTAACTTTTGCTTATCCAAAGATCAGATTTTTAGAGACAACTCACTTTGACCCCAGCTGAGAACCTATAAATAAAGATGCAGGGTCACTGACTGGCCATTGTGTGTCCCAGAGCATGTCCCTCCATGGGCAAGGTGGCACTGTCCTTAGGTCTCCATCCAGTGATGAACCAGAAAGTGAGGATAGCAGTAGTCAAGGCTAGTGTACTGGAAACGTTGAGATCAGCAGGGTTGTGATACCTTCCACCAGCTCCTGCAGTTCCAACGTGATGACCCGGAATAATTGGGAAGTCGTCAAAAAGTGACTTGTTTTGTTTTTAAGAAATCAGGAGGTGTATGTATTATTCAGGAGGAAGCTTTAAAATCCATATTTGAATGCTTTGGTATCTCTGGTTTCTCATAAAGTGGTTTCCTTCCTAAGGGGCACCATTATAGTAACTAGGGAAATGACGCAGGTGGGGCAGCTCCTTCCAGGATGCTCCCTTGAAGAGGGGTGGCAAAAAAAAAAATGGGCAGAGAGACTCCAGGACCAGCCCACTGTCCCCTCCACATTATGGAGGCTGGTAGCATTCTGCAGTTGTCTTTATTCTGACTACTTGCATTTTATTTTTACTTGTTTTCAGTTTTGAGTGAGTATTCTTTAAATACTAAGGAAATATGTAATTAATTGCAAGTTCTTCACTGACAGGTTGTTTTTACTGAGTGTTAACAGCTCAGGAAACATTCTCCGAGCCGACTTGATTTGCCCCCTGCTGCCCTCTGATGGAGAGAGGCATAGATTTTCCAGCAGTTTGATGCCAGACCTACAGGGCACGGCCAGTGCAGAGTCAGTGCGCAGTTGTTCAGAGCAAACCAGATCTCTGTTCTGATGCTCAAGGTGAAATCTTTGACAAAAACATGATAACTGAGCTTAAATCTGTTGGCCCTAACTTGTCCACAAAGCCACACAACTTTAGAGATTTACCTTTAAATGGTGTCTGGAATAACGGAGGTGCCTTTTGATTGATTGTTTTATGGTAATAGACCATAAATAGGAAGTGTCCCTATCATTGACAAGTCTATGTTTTCCTTCTCTTGAATAAATCCCGGCCTCTTTCCACAGGTAATAGCAGCTGCAAAGGAAGGATTCACAGCAGTTGGTTATGAATTGAACCCGTGGCTGGTTTGGTACTCCAGATACTGCGCTTGGCGAGAAGGGGTGCAGAACTCTGCCACATTTTATATTTCAGATTTGTGGAAGGTATGTAAGGCAGAAAATGGTCAAAGGAAACACCAACCAAAACTTTATAATCTAATCTATACTGGAGAACTGAAAAAGGAAAAGAAAAATAATTAAAATACAAGTGTGTATTTCAGCGTAATTTGAACACCTTTTAAATGGATAGATTTACAAACTGACTAGACTCTAGGGTAGAAGCTTGATGTTTTTGCATAATAGGTCATGTGAGTCTCAATATATTTGCTTAATTGAAAAAATTCTTCTATTTATTACAAAATGATGAGATTTTTATTCCATTTGGATATCTTATAAATTGTAGTATAGGTATTAACTTGCTAATGTCATTCTTGGTAAATAGTAGATCTCTGTGTGCACGTGTGTGTACATGTGTGTGCATGTGCATGTATTTACAGAGAGATGGGTGTGAGAGACAAGAACAAACCCACCAGCCATGCTGTCCTTGTTCCTTCTGGTCTTCATAAAGCATAAGATACTTCCCAGTGTATTTGTACCGTAAAAAAACTACCCTGTAATTTTGCTTTACTCCATAAAATACTTTTTCTTAAATAAGAATTTCACATTGTAATATTGTCATCAGTAGCTTATAAAAATTCACTTGAGTCTTGCTTGCATTTTTTTTTATATCCTATGTACATAAACGATCTCTCTATAGAGTAAATGAGACTTTTACTGGGCAATAAGAATTTTGACTGGCAAAGCACTCTCCCCCCCCAGTTTTTCAACTAAAGACTATTTCATTGCATTTTTTTTACTTAGTATTTTGGAGAAGAGGAGGGGTACTAGAATTTTAAGAATGGTTCAGTATGAAAAACAGGTGGTTCTGAGTTCCCTCAATTCTTGCTAGGCTGGTTTGATGTATAGTGGAGTAGAGCAGGAAAATGTGGGCAGAGCACAGATGTCCAGAGGCAGGTTGGCTGGGCCACCAGCGAGTCATTGGACTAGCTGTTCCTTTCTGATAGATGACCCTGGGGCGGGTCCCTCCTGGAGGGGCCCTGAGGGTGAGATAAAGTGATTGATAGGGAAGCATTTGGAAAAGCACCATCGATTGAACCAACATGAACAGAGTGTAAACATGGTACCCTCTTCCTTGTACAGTCTTGAAGGTGGCCATTCTTTGTGAAAACCTAGTATGTGCTGAAATGGAAAATTGCTACTCATTTTGAAACAAAAGTAAAGCTTGATGTTTGGCTTTTTAAAATGCATCTATGCCTTGTTTTCTCTCTCCTCTAGGTTACTTTTTCACAGTACTCAAACGTTGTTATTTTTGGTGTGCCTCAGATGGTGAGTCTCCGCTCTTCTGTCCCAGGGTTGTGTGGTTTTAGGTTATATTGAGGGCCCTTCTAGCTTAACAGACCACCTCTCTTTGCAAGTGACAGCGTCTCAGAGATGCGGAGGAGCATCGCATTTTAGCTCAGTGTTTAACAAAATACTTCAGGACCTTAAAGTTTAACATGAAAGATTCAGTCACTTCCTTTAAACTTTGGCTTCAGAGGAACATCTCCATTATCTATCTCAGCCCTAAAAATTCCAGTCTGCAAACTGCTTTTATGTGCTCCCAGTGGCTGATGTAGTTGGAGATTTTCCTGGTCATTCACTTACATCAGAAGTCACTTGGGAAAGTTAATGGGATGCTTCCTTTGAATTGATCATTCCTCTGATTTGCAGTAAGATAATTTTCAGGCTGGATAAGGATTGACTAGTTTCAGTTAACCTCAGTTGACTGACTTGCATTAACTTTGATTATAGTCTTTCAAAGGTGAAGATACTGCAGCATTGAACTTAAAATGGTCCTAAATTTAGCCTTTGGAAAGCTGACCAGAATGGGATGTTTTTATTGTAATTGCTGTTTTATAGACCATAGAAAGAAATCCCTTTTTACTTTTCAAAGTCTGTAATTGTAGCCATAATAATCTTGGTGAAATTGGGTATTTGCTGAAATGCCAGTATTCAACTGATATGGTTTTTAATTTACAAAAAAGGGAGATTTACTTTGTTGTTTTGTTTTCTTCTTCATACCTTAATTTTTGTGTAAGATATTTCAGTGCTTGACAAATTTTTCTCACTCTTGGGACCTTCAGTGCAATTCCATTTTATTTTTCTAAAGTTGATTAGAAGAGCTTTTGCTACATTTTCTCGCAGGATTCTGTATGTTCATAATTTTCAGTAAGCCTAAAGTGGATATGAAGCCAAGGTGTTTCCAGTTACAGGAATAAAGAGAGGTAGAACGCATGCTCCCTTGTCCCTTAAACAATTTGGGATCAATAGACTTGCTGTGGAATAAGGTGATAATTCACTACTTAGGGTATGTGGGCATTCCTTTAGAATAATTAGCATTTTACAGCAAATAACTGCAATTTAATTGGAGCAAATAACTTTAATCTGAAATCCATGCTTTATAAAAAGCAGAAAGTTGATATGTACTGGGAGTTCATTCTGTCCAGCCATGCCTTATGATGTCCTGAGGTGTGCTGCACCTCTGTACCAGTGGGGGGCAGCAGTGGCCTTCGGTGGTCACAGTGCCACAAAACCCGTGGGAACAAACTCCTGTGCTTCTTACCATGTTGGGAGTATTGCCAGTTTTTGGGGCTCTTCACTCAAGGGAAATAAAAGCGCCATTATGCTTTTACGGTTACTGTCCATTATTCTATATGTAGAGAAACTTTAAATAAGGAACTTGCAATATTTCACTGTTCCCCCCAACAGGGGAGCAGCTCAAACACAGGAACCACTCACGTTCCTGGGATAAGAGGGATTCAGCCAATGTGCACCTTTCTAAACAGGTGCCCTGACCCTGGGTGCAGAGGCCCAGTTGGCTTCTGTTGGTGTGGAAGGCCCAGTTCTCCCTGTGGAGGGCTTCCCCTACATGGAGGCAGAGCAGGGGCGAGTGCCAGCTGTGGGGTCCGGGGGCAGGTCTGCTTCGGCGAGTCCTGTGAGCCCTGGGAAGTCCTTTGACCTGCCTGGGCCCGACCTTATGGTCTTCCATTAAATGCATTTTCTTCTCTGAACACACAGTCATCCAGTAATGGCTAGGTGGCTCAACAAAACCAATGAGGCATGACATGTTTCCTGTGCAGCTGAAGCACACATAGGTCATGAGAGAGACCGGAGTTGCTTGGGGAACTTGAGAGGAAGAAACCTCTGCTTCTGGTATTGATTGTTCCTGGCAACTCAGTGCAATTGGGGCTTGAAATTAGAGCTGCCCTAACATTGCAACACAGGCATGTATCTGATGTGATACTAATGCAGGATCCCATTTGGATCTGGTAAGTCCATTACTGAGATGGTAAATACCCACAGTTAACACTTAGGTGCCAAGAGCATCTTTTCAGTCTGTAGAGCAGATCAGTTGTGTCCTTGTTTATGACTTCTATGACTTCTTCCTGATTATAAGTAGCCAGGATAACGCCCAAACCCTCCTCATGGTCTGGAGGCCTGGCCTGGAGTGGCTCCTGTTTCCCTCACCCTCTGTCCTGTGGGCTCCAGGCCTCCTTTGTATGTGGGGCTGTCTTCTCCAACTTCAGTCTTCAGCTCTGGGCTAGTTATGACCCACTGGCCACGCACGGGGCAGATGTCCCTTCTTCTGAGAAGCCATCATTGTTTTCACTTGTCCAGCGCATGTTCCCTCTCCACAGTGAGCTCTTGCTCATTTGCTTGCCTGATAGCGTTGGCATGGTAAGCTCCTGAGGGCTGGCACTTCATCTGCACTGCCAGGCTGCAGCATGGCAGCACCCACTCAAAGTGGGCCCTCAGGCAACATTTGTTAAGTGAGTGAAGAAATGTGCCATAAGCATGCCTGTTCGGTGCACTTTTCCAAGTGGGCTATTAAATTCCATAACTTCAAAGAATGAATAATTTAATATTAGTTACAAATCTTGTTATGAATTGATGAATGAAAATATTATCATCATGTTCTGATAGAGAAGATTGATCATTCATTCATTCAACAGGTGTTTATCCGGGGCCCACTAAGCGACTGATTGTGTTCTAGTCACGTGGAATCCTTAACGAATAAAAAGGAAAACCATCCCTGCCTGGGGGTGCTTTATGCCAGTGGGGAGAGCAGGCAAGGAGTGAGATCCCTGTATGGAATGAAATGTGATGTGTGACACTAGGGTATACGTGCCATGGGGCAGAGTAAGTGGGTGGTGGGGTGGAGACAGTGTCCCTAAAGAGGGGACAGGTGTAGGTGAGGGGACACCAGTTAGTTGTGTGGGGAAGTGAGGGCGAGTGTTCCAGGCAGAGGAACAGCCACTGCAAAGGCACTGAGAGGTGTGTGCCTGCTGTTTTCAGGAGCAGCCAGGAGGTGGGGGTGGTCAGAGAGGAGTGGGCTGGTGGGAGGGGCACTGTGCCCTCCTTGGGCAAGAAACGGGGCTGGTTTGAGAGGAGCAGGGAGGAAGTGGCTGAGCTGTAAAAGATCCCAGGCTGCTGGGAGAAGAAGCTGGAGATCAGGTATGAGCTCTTACAAGCATCCTACCCGGAGTGTGATGGGCAGGCTGGACAAGCTGGTGAGAAGTGGTCAAATTCTAGATGCATCACGAAGACAGAAGAACCAACAGAAGAGCCCCAGATCCAGTGTAGGGCACAGGAGAGAGAGGGGCCAAGGGCAGGCCGAGTCCTTTGGCCTGAGCAGCTGGAGGCTGGGAAAACTACAGGCAGAGCAGTTTGGGGAAGATCTGGAATCTGGGGCGTGTGGAATTCGAATGTGTGTGGACATGTCAGTTGTAATCCTGGGTGCTGGGGGCCTTGGGCTCAGGAGGAGGGTGGGCTGGATGGCGGGTTTGTTGGCCTGAGCCCTGACTAACCAGTGAGGGGCACCCAGCCGAGGACCTGAGGGGAGGAGCTGGGGGGGAGGGAAGTGGGGGAAGGATACCTAGAAGTCAGGTGAAGCCAGCATTTCAGGGGCGAGGGAGCGATCAAGTGGCTCAAAGCTGCCTATGGGCATGGCTGATTAGTCTTATGCCTTTGAGCTGGTTTCAACTTATGTTCAAAGTTTTGAAAATGTAATTAGAAAATGATGAGTTCCTGTAACTTTGAACCCTATAATTATATGAATAATTTTGAATTCCATTAAACAGACATGACACATTACTGCTTCTCTTTGTGTATGATATCAAGACCTGGATTGTTGCATATTTATATGTAATTTAGTCAGTTAATTTCTTATGATTGAAATAGCTCCTTTCATTTGTAGGTTTATCTTGACAGCATATGACAGTCATTTGGAAATAAAAGAAACTGTAAAAGAGAAAGAAATAATGGTAAAATGCATAAGTTTATAATTATCCTTTTCATGAACAAAATTACCATAAGAAGCTGCTGATATTTCAGAAGAACACATATCGTCTCTTTCTTTGCTTATTTAATTTTTCCTTCAAGGAACAAAACTTTTTCGTTTTGTAAAATAGTAATCTTTTACTGGCTCTTAAAACAATAGAAATATCCTATCTTTAATATTCTTTGTTATCTTGATATTGATAGTAATGAAGAATCAGAATTTTGGCTCATTCTGGTCATAGGTCAGGTAGAGGAGTTTTTCAAGCCACTTTTTTAAAGATACAGGTCAGGAGTAAAATGTCATAGAAGCACATTGATTTATTTGTCCTGGTTTAACTGGTTACTTTTAAAGGGAGTAGTTTTTACTCAGATCTTGGTTTTCAAATATCATTTCCCATTTTAGAGGAACCAGGAATGTTTGAGAAATGGTTGATCCCATCAGGGAAGATAGAAAAGCCTGGAATGTTTTGTTGAGCTCTAATAAAAGGAAGTGCTTAGTATTTCATGGGGGCAAGTCCAAAGGAGAGGGACGCCAGCTAGAAGAGGCTCCCAGGGGTCAAACTGGGACAATTTGAATGTTAGAATATAAAGGACAATAGTGGATTAAATCCACTTGTGAAATTAGGATCTAGGAGTTCATACTTACAGGTGAGAAGGGAAAACTCTTCCTTGGGTAGAATGCTGACTGTCAGTCTAAAAGGAATGATGGAATTAGCAAATTGCCACTTTGCAACTGTTTTGGTCAAAGTTGACTGAGGCTAGACTCATCAAGAATGCTACATCTAGGGGGGTACAGTTCGATGAGTAACAGGATATTTACATGGTCTCAAGGTATCTCCCCTCAAATTACACATGCATTATAGAGGAAAAATAGTAACCACACTGTGGGGACACCAGATAATCACCTTCACCGAGTGGTGACCATTACCCTCAAAGCGGATGGGCCCCATGGGCATCTGATGTGGAGCCCTGGACGTTCACAGCCCTCCTTATGGGGCATTCCCAGGAGCCACACTGAGTCATCAGGAGCAAGCATCAGAGGGACCCAAGGTGAGGGCCATTGGCAAAGTAACTGCCCATGTTCTTAAAGGATGTTATTGTCATGAGAGACAAAAGAAGGTCAAGGAACTGTTGCAGATTACAGGAGACCAAAGAAACATTACAGCCAAATGCAGTGTGACATCCTAGACTGGGGACAGATGTTATAAAGGACATTACTGGGACATTTGACCAAATAGGAATGTGATTGGGATTATTAGCAGAATGCAAGGTTAAATTTCCTGAGTTTGGTAACTGTGCTGGGGCTGTTTCTCAGGGAACACATGAAATTTTATGAATCAAGGTGTGTGTTATATGCAACCTCTTCTCAAGTGGCTTAGGAACCATGTTCATGAGGTGGAGGGGAAGAGGACACTTTGGAAACAGCCAGTATGACAAACTTAAAAACTGATGAACCTGGGAAAAGGAATGCAGGAGGTTTGTGTTTTATTCTTACAACTTTTCTGTAACTTTGAAATTATTTCAAAGTAACAAATTAAAACAAGAAAATGGAAAAGAAAACCTTAGGTGGTGAAGATGGTAATATATTTTTAAGACCTGAAATAAATTTTTTTAGCAGTGGTTATTGGTTGATGTAATTATGTTTTGTATTTTGCAAAACAACACTCTGTTCACAAGTAGATTGGTAATGGAAAGGGTACAGAAGTGGTAAATAAAGAGGATTTGACTTTTCCTGAGTCATGTTGACTATCAAGAAATTATCAGTATGATAGATACTTTCTTAAAGAATTATGAAATTTTTGTCTTTCAACTTGGTAGAATGAGCATATTTTTTTCATGGTCTAATCATATTTCACTGTGTCTCGATGCTATTGATTTTAAGATGCACCATTGCTCTTGAGAAAGAAAAAAAATACTGCTAATTATAATTCTAAGATCATGTCAGTTTTAAGGTGTATCCTGATTCCTGAGATGTTAAAAATGTAGAAAAGTATGTGTTAAATAGTTAAGAGAGGGCAGATTCAGGTGTTTGGATAGGTAAATAATTTAAAAGTGCTTCTCATTTTAATTACTGCTACATCATGATTTTAGTCAGAAAACTGGGTATCTGTGACATGCATCTGTTAAAAATGGTATGTTTTATAATTGGTACTAGAAGACATATAACTGTTGTTAATGTGACTTCTGTATTTTAATGCAGTTTGATAATTGTATTTTTGCCCTGAAGTCATCTTTTTTACAATTAGTAATTTTTGCTCAGGTATTTTCAGGCACTTAAATAGAAAAGGACATATGGGAATCATTTCTTTCAACTCACTACTCACTGAAATCATGACTGTCATTATGCACAGATGCCACAATTAGAGAAGAAACTTGCTCTTGAACTTGAGGAAGATGCTAGAGTCATCGCTTGCCGGTTCCCTTTCCCACACTGGACTCCAGACCAGGTCGCGGGAGAGGGGATAGACACCGTGTGGGTGTATGACATGAGCACTCTCAGAGGACGTGGAAGAGGTCCTGAGGATCCGTGCATTTCCTGGTGGTCATCCAGTTAGAAAATCTCCTGGGAGTGTTTTGAGTGTTGGTGGTCTTTGGGTTTGTAGAGAGCTCCAGCTGTGTCTTCCACAGAGAGTGTACTTTTCTTTGGTATAGAATGAGAAATTACCATTGCCTTAACTTTTGGAGACAACAAACAAGAACAGCAGGTAGATTTAAAGTCCTTTTTCATGAGATGTGCTGAAAGATATGCTCACTACTGTTTCATGTTTCATGCACTTGGATGTATGAAAATACAAATAAATGATGGTCTTGTTGTTGGGCAGGCAAGATGTCAACAGCTCTTCACATTATTAAAAATATGATTTAATGCCACAGATGTTTGCAGCTTTCTATAACTTTCTTCATACTTAAGATCTATCTCTGTCTTTACTTCACAGCAAAATTAATTTTCTAATGGACTTAGGCATTCATATTTTATAAAATTTATTGGGACTAATTTGTCCCAGAGCTACTGAATTACTGTGTTTTATTGAATCTAAGATGTATATGTGTGTGTAAATGTGTATGCATGCACACATACACTGTAACATTTCTGAAACTGTGATGCACCTTTCAGTTGATGGTATTTTATAACTAATTGGTGATGTTGTACATCGTGATGTGGCTGTGTATCAACCACTATTGATAGAATCTCGGATTTGATGAAATAATGGTATTCAGAGAAAGTATATGATACAGTGGATCAGTTGGTAATAATTTAATGTTAAATAAACAGTCATGAGCTTTGGAGTAATGAGCCAGACCTGGGTTCATATATCTGCTTGACTATTGGAGGCCTTGGACAAATGGCTTATTGTCTGGAGTCTTGGTTTTCCTGCATATCCCTGTTATGGTGCTCCGGGTGGTGGTTCGCTGGGTGCTGGGTGATGGGCGCCGGGTGGTGGTGCGCTGGATGTGGGGCACTAGATAATGGTGTGCTCTACAGGGGATACTGGGGACCAGTTTGTGAAACTCGTGGCATGTAGTGTTTGCTCTGCAAATGGTATTTTCTATTTTAGATACTAAAGAAAGGCTTCTTCACAGAGGTTGCAGATTATTTCTGCTAGTCACTTCTTTATTTTATGAAAGCAGCTGTTTATTTAATATTTCTCATTTGTGAGGAGAGCTTTGACTGATTTGGATAAAGACAAGCTGGCAAAGACCTTTGAATGGGAGTAGACCAGCTTCATATACCTGAAAAATTGATGCTGAGTAGTGGCTCAGATAATCCCTGCTCGTCACAGAAAAGAATAGAACTTCCCAGTTATACACCTGTAACGTAAACAACAAACTGTCACATCAGAGGTGCGATAAAGTGATAAGGTTTGCATCTTTAACTAAACTGATAAAAATATGGTCAGTTTGATAATTTTCATTTAAATGAGAAGCAACTGGGAGCTTATTTCTTCATTTCAGCAAATACTCACCGAGTGTCAACTATGTAATAAGCTTTTCCAATTCAGTGGTGACTATACATACCAGGCCCTGTGTCTCATGGAATTTAAATTCTAAAAGAGGGAGAAATAGATAAGTGAGTGAAGTACATATGAAGTTCCCAGAAAGAGGTAAACAGTGTGATGATGAAGAGAAGCCTTGTGTTGGGTTTGGCGACATGGGATGCTGTGGGCGTTTGTCAGGTTTCTGGCTGCTGCCATAGACGCCTTTCCCAATAGCCTCTGTTGCCTTATGAAGAACGAAGTCTCCCTGATGGTGTCACTTTCCACTCTAGGCAGCCCTGTAACTTGGCTGGGCATGCTTGGACAAGGAGCCATCGTTGTTCCTTCCGAGGGAGGTGTGGCAGTGTTTTGTGGAGCCTTGGAGGTGTTTGTTAATTTTCCAGACTTGCTTCTGGTGGATTTGTAGAGGCATCAGGCCATCTGCAGTCATACCTAGCTTACTATTTTGGGGGTTTCTCCTTTAGCTTCCCAGGAATTAGATGGTGCTTAGTCCTGCAGCCTGAGTCAGATGGAAGAAGTGTTGGGATTCATGGAGCTTGCAAGGTTTTTCATTCATTTTTATAATTGTTCATATAAGTAAACTGTACAATAAGAATTTCCTTGCAGAGGTTATTGTGGCTTCTCTGACTGGCTGGTTTGAATGTTCATTGGTTACTAGGTTGAGGCTGTTGTCAAATTTGCACAGGCACCAGGCAGGTAATGGGTATTATTTTTGATGTCAAAAGTAGGATTAAAAGATGGCTGCACAGATTAAAATCAGGAATAAATGCTAACTTGATAAAATTTGAAGTTAAGGAAACACAAAATGAGAATAGAAATATGGCTTAGGGGCAATGTAGCCTAGCAGGAGCTGCTGTGAACAGTCCTGTGGCCCCACTGAGACTCAGGTCAGTGACGAGTGCAGTGCCGTCCCAGGCAGCTTGCTCTAAAAGCATGGGGACGGCCCCAGGATCGTGACCTTGCATTCCCAGTTGGGCCAGGTGGGCTTCTCCAGACCCTTGGCCCTTTCTGGCATTCAGACTCCTTGAGATGCTTAGCTCCATGAAGTGTGCGTGAAACCAAGTTGAAAAGATACACGAAATGAGACTCTTTCAGATGTTGCTGAGAGATGGCTACACCATGGCAGGTTACAGCTGAACAGAGTAGAAAAAATGCAAGATTCCTGACATTTAACTCACACAGCTGGATACTCCTCCTGCCAAAGTACTTTTCCTGATGGCCAAAGGTGTAAAAGACCTGCTGTGAAGAAACAAATGTTCCCAAGTCCAGGAGTCTTCTTAGCTTATGCTGTAACATGGTATTTTCTAGGTTAGCCTTGGCTGAGCGCATTCTGGAAAGACCTTGAAGTCCTTGTAGAGCAAGGAGTCCACACTGTAGGAGTCTGCTCAGCTCTTGACAGACAGACAAGAAGCACACCCCTTGTCACCTACTGGGGCTGTGGTGTGAGCAGCCTGTTACTGAGATGTTGAGTCATGTGGGCCACAGTGGAGTGCCCCTCACCTGGCCCGGGCAGCAAAGGCTGCAGGCTTCCGACCCAGGCCTCCTGTCCCGGAGCCGGGGATACCAGCTGGCTAGTCAAGGGAGGTTTGCAGACAGACACTGCATGCTCCCGCCCAACAGCTGTCTCCCCTATTCCTTGGTAACAGAATCCCCAGAGTTTCAGGTGCAAGGGACCCCATTGTCCATGAATATTGATGTGACAATGGGCCCTGCCAGCTGTCTGATCGCATCCCCTGGGCATTAGGGTGGGCTGTGGGCATGTGATCCAGTTCCTGCCAAGGAGGTTTGAGGGGACGTCTGCTGGGAGCTTTGTCTTATGAAGAAGTAGGTGCTTGAGGAGTGGGCGTCCCACCTGTTTTTGTCCAGGCTCTGTAAAGCAGCAGTGCCCTCAGTTAGCAGCCAGTTTGCAACCACTGGGGGAGAGGTGAAGATGAAGGCCAGGATGCTGAGGCTGGTGGAGCAGAGACATGCAAAGGCTCAGGGTCTTTGATGACACCACTGAGCTGCTGACCCAACCCAGAGCCTCTGGCTTCAGGACATCTTGTTAAGTGAACTAATAAACCCCTGTTGTCTTTCAGCTGCTTTTACCTGGGTGTTATTTGCACCCTGCAGCAGCCTAGTGGGGATGGGGGTGTAAAGCCAAATGGCGAGGGAGCCAGCAGTGCAGGTGGCAGGTGCCCATGAGCCCATGCTCCCCGCCTGGAGAGCACAGAGGAGATGGCACTGTGGGCATGGTCAGAAGGTGTGCTGGAGTGTTGTGGAGGTGTGGAGAGCTCCCAGGGTGGGACCCCCAACTCCCAGTGTGGTGACTGGAGAATTGGGCCCAGTCAGGAGGTCTGTGAACTTGGACCCAGGCCTCACGACTGGCCTGACTCATCCCAGGGGGCCTCTGTTTCTGGGGACATGGCAGGGGTGAGTAACAACAGAGCCTCAGCCGTGTCCCTGAACCCAGGGGGAGTCTCTAGGAGAAGAAGATTCCTCAGGACCAGGAAGGAATTGGGAATGGGATGGGAGGAAGTCCCCTCAGCCTGCCCTGCCTCGGGCAGGGTTCCCTGTAGGGGAGCTGTGTTGCGGCCTGTACGTGTGTGTGCACAGAGCTGTAAAGTCCTAATCCTCGATGTGATGGGGACTCGGGGGGGCCCACCTAGTGGGGGTGGTGGGGTGGTAAGGGTGGAGCCCCTGTGAATGCAGTTTGTACCCTGAAGAGGCCCAGGGAGCTCCTGCCCTGCACCAGGTGAGGACACGGAGGAGACGCTGGCCATGGGCCAGAAAGAGGGTTCCCCAGATGCTGGATCTTAGACCTCCTGCTCCCGGAACTGCGAGAAACGGATGCTTGCTCGTTATTTATGTGTGCCCCCAGCCTGGACTGGGTCAGGGCCGTGAGTGGACCTGTGCGGCTCTAGCGGCCTTTCCTCAGGCCTCATGGGGAGAGTATGGTGAGAGGGGCCGAGCCTCTGGGGGGTTCCCCATGTGCCTGCCAGGAGGGCTGGGAGACGCCCCGACAGGACGGTCCGGTGGCCGAAGGTGCTCTGGGCCCCCTCTGGTGACTGGGGGTGTGGTTGGCACTGTCCGCACCCGGGGCGGCCTCCCCGGGCGCGTCTCTTCTGGGCCAACTCCTCCTGGCTCACACGGAGCATGCCTTTGGCGAGGTCTGTCCCTGAACTAACAGGGATGATAGAAAACGCTAGAGCTAGAAGGCAAGAGGAAGCCGTGCTGATAAGCAGAATCTTGCAGAAATGAGCTCTGGATGGTAAACGGTCTTGTCAGCCTCTCCTAGGAGGCGCAGGCAAAGAGGTTGTAGATGTTTACCCCAGATAAGAGAAGGTTTAGAGGAGACAGGACAGTTTTCCAGTATTTGGAGGGTTGCCAGGCAGACGAAAGGAAAAGTGACAGTGAATGCGATCGTGCACCAGGGTCCCCGTGCCCTGCAGGTTCAGTGCCAGCCCTCATCCTCAGGGCAGGGCCACTGTCTTCATTTAGTTCCTTTTTAGCCAAGGGAAGTCGTCATTGACTTGCTCCATGGCAGCCTGGCAGGGGGGCACTCTTACTGCGCTCGGTTGCCTCCCCCTGCTTCTCCGTCTGTTCTGGCTGGTTCTGGGGTCGACTCAGGTCACTTGGGGTGCTGGAGGGAAAAGGAGCTTAAGCCCAGTCTGAAGTACAGTCTTAATAAAGTCATTCAAAGTTAGAATGCAGTGCCTCTGGACATAGTTCCTTGTCACTAGAGATGACAGAGCAGAGGCTAGATGGCCACTTGGTGGAGATGTTGTAGAAGGAATTCACCCGACGAGCAGGTGCCACGTCCTGAAATGACCTAAAGTGAACATGAGTTTTCCAGCCTTAACAGGGCCGCCAGAATCCTTTCAGTGGACGTCTGTGGGTCTGCGAGGTATGGGCGCATTCCTCAGCAGCAAGGGCGTTCACACGATTCCTGCAGAACATAGTGTCTTGCAGAACATAGTGTCCCGCAGCATGAGGGCCCATGGCAGCTCTTCACTCCGGTGTTTCAGGACAGCTAGTGCAAGTCCTGGGGGAGCTGGTGAGTGCTGCAAGCTGGAGGAGGAACTTGGAATCTGCTGAACCCAGAGGGCTGAGTGGAGAAAACACTTGTGTAGTTGTGTTCACCAAGTGTCGCTCAGAGCCAGGGGACTGTTGTTGAAGCTCCCGGGAGAAATACGTCACCAATGGTGCCTCATCCCCTTCTATGCGACACCCCACCCAGAACCCTGTCAAGAGAGCAGCATTAAGAGGACCCGAAGCTCCCTAACTCCTCCAGTTGATTGGACTAGGGTTGGGCATCTGCAGAGATCCTTAGCC